GAGGCTGCAGAGACAAACTTGCATAATGTTGACTAAAACACCAACAGAGCATTGAGTGCAGTGAGGCTGTGCAGGTATGTGACGTGTCGAAAAGCTGACTGTAACAGAAGAGAGAGCCACAGCAGAGTTCATGAGAAGCACAGAGTGACAGAAGCAGAGTTTTAATCGTTTTCAAATCTCAGTTTTTATTCACAGCAAAGACCTTATTTGCATTATTATGACTTCAGAACCTCATACAGTATTTGCTTCACCTTGTTTTTCACACTGCCCCCTGGTGGTAGTACACAGCTTCAACATGAACATGTACAGTTTTTTGCATTTTTGCTCATGTACAGACTTTCACATTTGAGTCATGCTGCATTTCCTCCTTTGAGTTGCTCTACCAGCCCTTTACTGCAACCACCTTCTGCCCTTGCTTATATCTGATTATGGCAAAGGACTTTTCTACTCTATTTGAGCATCCAAAGCGCTTCGTACAAGAACTTTTCTACGCTTAAGTGCTTTCTGTGTAACATTTATACATATTCACAGTCTGATGGATACACCAGAGAGCAACTTGGGGTTCAGCAACTTGTCCAAGGATACTTTGGCTAGAACAGCCAGGGATGAAACCACCAACTATCTGCTCAAAAGCTGTTCTGTTCATCTGGACGTAGCATTTTCAGTGGGAGAGTTGATTGAACAGAATCAACTTTTGGGCATTTACTTACCTGGATGGAGCATGCATCAAGACACCAACTATCTGATTGGTGGATGACCCGCCTCCTGGTCCGTCTCCTAATCAGGTGACGGAATCGCCCACTGAAGAATATCCCATTTATTTCTTATTTTCTTGGCCTATTGCACTTAAAACAACAGTTTGAATTATTTTCAGGCATTATGCTGGCTTTATTCGTCGTGAAATAGCAAGGAAACCTCATGATGCCATGAGACTGGTCATCAGTCAGTAGTCCAGTTAATTCTGAGCCTCTGTAAATGGTGGCCTATGTGTAAGAGTGTCTGTAAAACCCCATGAATTAAAGCCGAAAAGCTACACTTCAGTCACATCTGGATTGTTTGATTTAAACAACATATCTGTGGCGATGTACCGAGGCAAATGTTCTCTTAGTCTAACAATATATAGACCTAACTGTAGGTCTGTCTACAGCTGCTTATGTTAAGATGGGTTACTTGCTCCCTTTTGCATTTAGAAGCCTAATTTTAGCCACTGTTGATATTTAAAATTCAGACACGGCTGGAGATGATTCAATAAAGTTCTGTTTACTGCACATAATGAAAAACTCTCATCTGCTCACAAAAGGTCTCATAGCTCAGGACGGATATAAAGCTCTGGGAAGTGTCCAGATTGACTACAGGCTGATTCGATTTAGCCTTCAGTCGCCGGTGTTATAACCACTTTCTGTCCTGATAGCAAAGAGCAAACACTCAGCTCACAGTCAGTGCAGCAAGTTCAATACGGCTCTCATTTCGGAGATTCAAGTCTTTTGTCAATACTTTGCATCTCCTCCTTTATTTCAAATGACAGCCTCAGCCTCACACACACAGGATAGCAGTGTTTTCTGGAGACGTGCCTCGCCTCTCTTTACAGACACTTTTTTTTCAGCTGTTCTTTACTGCAGGGGTTGCATTGCTCGAACTTTCTCTTTAAATATAAACCCGAAGGCGTTGTGTTGGATCCAAGTCAGGCGACAAACTTGCTCAGGTCATAGTTCTCACTTTTTTCTTCTTTAGAAACTGGTGTGTGATTTTGGCAGCGTGCTTTGGATCGTTTTCACGCAGCAATATCCCTCCTCTGCCAGGCTTCTGGAAACTGCGAGCCATCTTGTTTGCCAGTATTTTGGTTTATCCACAGGCATTCATGGTGCCGTCTATAAATGTCAACCGTCTGCACTCCTACAAGGCCGTATCATCATCACACCCCCACCTCTGTGCAGTCACTGCGGTGGTCCCAGCCAGGCTGTTCCATCTACCCGAATGTAAACATCTGATCCATTTGTCATGTTCTTTAGCAAAGTTTTAGCCTGCAGTTTGGTGCCAAAGATCAATCAGGTCATTTTTTTTCCTTTTTTCAAAGCTTGACATTATGCGATGTCCTTCGCAAATGTCTGAGCTGTCACACAAATTCAGATTTCCATTGATAACCCCGGTGCCAAGTCTGTAGCACTCGCCCATCTGTTTTCAGAGCTAGACTGTTCAAGTAGTGCAGCACTGTCTGTGGCATTTCAAGAGGACAGCCACAGTGGCTCTGATTAGTGGTGCTGTGGCTCGTTCTGTAACTCCTGATTTCTACTGCAAATGTTTCTGGTGATTTCCAGCAGGGCACTGACCTCTCTTAATGCTTTTCCATCCTTCTTAAGTCTCACAATTAGATTTTTTAAAATTCCTCTGGCAGTTCTTTTCAAAGTAGAGGAATAATGCAGACATGCACCGCTTATAGAAAGATCTAGTAGAAGTACTCATGGGCAGGTATTGTGAGGTATTATCTTAATTAATGGCAATTTGAATGGCCAAAAGAAAAAACCCTGCATACTTCAAATCACTAATAAAATCTGATAACAACTTTTGCCCAAACAGGAGGATTTAAAGGTTTTAAAGGACTTTGTTTTCCCCTGAAGATGATGTTTTCCACCATGTTTGCTGCGAGCGAATCCTGCCGTGACTCAGGATCCTCTGTCTCTCTCTCTCAGAGAAATTAGCAAAAGTTCTGGTCACAGGACGGTTTTGCTGTCCACTTTGGTATATGTATGGTCTGTGTTTTTCATTGCATTACATTAACACTGCACACTAACTCCAGGTATATGCTGTGCACCAAAGGTGTAGATTTCAAGGTGGGTGCAGGAGTATCTAAACTCGTGCAATCATTCTCCGCGCCCTCAATAAAATGATGAAAGAGGCAGAGGACATATTTAGGAAGAACTGCTTTAATGATTTTACTCTGAAAGGAATGTCTCGACAGCAGAGGGTCTTTTTAATGCATAAAATATTCATATAAATTACAAAATGTCAGCTGCATAATGCGACTCTCCCATTTCAGCACATCCCAACGGAGTTCTATTGAACTGAGATCTGTGGAGGCGGTCTGAGTGCAGTGAACTCCCTGTGATGTTCCAGAAACCAGATTGAGATGATCTGAGCTTTGTGAAATGATGCATTATCCTATTGGAAGCAGGTATTAGAAGACGGGTACACCGTGGCCATGATCAACAACAATACTCTAAACTTTAAATGATGCCCACTGGGTGCTAAAGGGCCCAAAACGTGCCAGGTAAATATCCCCCATATTATTACACCACCAGCAGCAGCCTGGCGTTTTACTGCAAAACAGGATAAGAGGCATGCTTTCATGGTGTTTACACTAACTCTGAGTGTTGCAGGAGACATTAAGACTCCTGATGTCAGTTTGGAAGATGTGTGAATTGCATCCTCTGTTTCCTGTTCCAGCTGATGGAGGTGGCACCCAGTGTGGTCCTCTGCTGCTGTAGCCCATCAGCTTCACGGCTTGACATTTGCACTCAGAGATGCTCTTATTCATACCTTGGTTATAACAAATAGTTCTTTGAGTTATTGGTGCATTCCAATAAGCTTGGTTTGGTCCATATCCTCTGGATTTTCCAGAGACTGCGCACCCAGAGGACTGCTGCTTATTGGACAGTCTTAAAATACTTGACCTCTGACCCGGAGGTTCAGGCCACGGAGATTTGAACTCATGGTGACGACAATATCATGAGCCTTTTATGGCTAGTTGCTGTGTCCAATCTTTGTTTTTACTCACCCTCTGAAAGATATTAAGGCTTTTAAGGTACGTTTCCTAAAGAAAAACCTAAAATCACATATTGGTGACGTGTGAATGTTGCAGAGAGCTGAACAGAAATCAGAATTCTTGCAAGCGTATTTAGGCAGGTTATGTCCCCATATATCACAACACTAGTTTGATATCCGACAGAATGATAACACTGACTCTCGTGTCTTGATCTGGCAAATAGGAGAATAAATCACGCCTGTGTGTTCACGTGCGATCATGTTACATGAGAAAAGTCGAGAATATTTATATGAAAGCACAACTACATTGTTCTGTGTATATGTCAAACAGTTACCTGCTGGCAGATTTTCATGTTATAGATGTTTCCTCTAAACTCTGATGCAAAAATGACACAAATTGGTGAACAAAAATTCATCCGAGTGCAGGAAATTGTGCCCAGCCCTCAAAATTTCCAAGAGGGACGACCCACAGACCCCAAGCTTAATGTGTCCCCACCCCACCACGTTCCCTCCATGTGTCAGTCATCACCCCACTCACTCTTCACTCCGGTGGGGCTGAGATACGGACGGGTCCAGAGCAGACAAACAGGCAGCAATCGCTACACCACTCGATTATTTATTTCTCTTATTTAAAACCTTTTTTTTTTATGTGCCCCCAATTTTCCGTCTTGTCGTCTTTCTGCCTACTTTCCTCTCCCAAGGCGGAGACGGTCGCTAAGCAACCCGCACAACACAACACTGCAGCTCTCCAACTTGGCTCAGCGCTCGCCGTGCCCCTGTGGTTTCAGACAATCAAATACACGGGTGCGTGCGAGTGTGCGTGCACGTGCTCGCACAGAAAGCGTGTGTGAAAGGTGAAAGCTATGAATAGTTTCCATCTCATAAGCAAAAGCCAACAGTCCCTTTAGCTTTTAAGAGCTGCCTCTTGACTCGAGTGCGGCATCATCTTGCATTCATTGAGGATTTATTGCAGGGCATCCAACTCTGAACCGCCTTCCACTGAAAACGCAAAAATGAGTGAGGCTGCGAATCTGTGGAAACGTGCTTTTAATTCATTTGAATAAAACCAGCAGACAGCTCCCTGTTGTGCACGGAGGCGTCCATCTCCAGACTTATCTTCAAGGCCAACGCGATTCATAACAGAGTACAAATTTGTGTAGAAATAATAGCTACAAAATTATAGCTCCCATTGCTTGGCAACATATCTGAATGAATGAATAAATCAAGCAACCGACACAGGCTTTAAAAAGTGATCGATTTAATCAGTGTAAAGATCCAAGGCTTTGGTTGGAGCACGCTGAGCTTCTCACCAACCTGCAAAGACACTACAGGGAAGCGCACCCCGGTAACAACGCGAGCATTCGACAAACGGCTGCAAGTATTAATGCAATTAATCAAACACAATGTCTTCTGAGCTGCTAGCACCACTCGCACGGTACAAAAGCACCACAACCAGTAGGAGGAAAACAAAAAGGAAAGAGCACATTTCAAGCAGCAGCTGCTAATTACAAGACTTCCACAGATTGTTTTTGAAGTTACATTCAAAAAAAAGGAGAATCGTCATCACGGCTTTACAAAAATATACATTTGTGGGCATGCACGGAGCAACGCTACCTGTCGCGTCTGGCACTTTAAAAAAGAAGCTAAAACCAGGAGATCCCCGTCACTTTACAAAAGCGAAAACTTGAGAACAAATGGCACTTACTGTAACTATAGCAGTGAAAGATCTCCGGGGAAGCATCGCAGCTACACGCACACGTAAACAAACGCTCCCGCCGACACGGCCGAGGCGCGATCAGCAGACACGCACGGACACAGTGAGAGGATTTCACTTCCACCACATGTATTCTTATTCAGGAAGTAGAGTCTCTACTAAAATGAAATAAAGGTAAATGTTTAAGAAGAGGCTGGTTATATTTGATTGTAATGTCCTAACGTCTCCTTAGAAAACACCTCTTATCTCAGCATTAAGGCTTTAAAGAACCTCTTAACTTTTGGCTTTGACATTAACCTTTTTTTTCCACGTTCTGGTGAAGTTGGCAGTAAACTACAAACAAACAGCCCGCTGACGCTCTATTTGTACAAACCAAAATCAGCTTTACACACAAACATCACATGGCATGTGTAACTCGATTTGTATCAGCTGAGTGCAGTGACAGATATTCAGGCCTCTGCTGCTGTAGTGCTCTGGTCTTGGCTCCCTTCAGCGGCAGGGCTAAGCGGTCCCGCCCACCACAGGGTCAGGACGTTGTCCTGCCGGGTGTCTTGCTGTGACATCACAGCGCCGCTCCCCTCCGTGTCAGAGGCCGAGTCACCCTCGCTGTCGCCGGGCCACGGGAACTGCCGTTGGCCGCTGGATGTTGCCAGCAGCGGCATGAAGGGATGGATACTGTAGAAGAAGAAGAGAAGGACGGAGCAGCAGAGGGGGGCAGAGAGAAGATCCAGGAAGGGACAAATGAAAATAATGGCGTGATAAGCTGTGAAAAAAAAACTGTTTCTGCTAGCGTGACATGACTGGACTTTCAGCTATTGCACACGCAGCATCACGCTTGAAAAAAGAAAATGCACGATTCATTTCACAGAAAACAACTGAATTACCTCAGGCGTTGCCACATTTTATACATAACTGCTGCACATTTACACCATCTGTTTAATTAAAAGTCACCGTTTCATTTTTAGTACATCACTGGCTTCATTCTCTGCAATCACGTATTCACAATCAAAGCTGTTTTTTGTGCCAGAGTATCCAGAATTATTGAGAAGCTGTGGTTTGGTTTTCACTCTCTGCTCTCACAAAGCAGTGACATGCCTGACTAAAGCCAAAGCTGCTCTGTCACTGAATGTTTTGGATCATTTGTTTTGCCTCCTATGATTTTGTGAAAAATGACTGCATGACCCAAACAGCCTGACACAGCAAAACAGCATAACTGAACAACAGCGTAACAGAAGTGAATTAGAAAAAGCTGAAACTTTGTTAATTGCTTTTATTCAGTTTTGTTTCTACCGAACAACAATGCAGCTGATCAAGATTAGCTTCACCTTTGTAAAATAACACTTTTCCTCTCGTGTTAATTATTGAGAATGATCCACCTTCAGTCTAATATTATAAATGTTTTAATTACTGGAATCTAATCTGTCAGTGAGCTGGATTAGATTAGTAATCATACCTGACTCCGTTGGTGCAGTCCCAGTACGCCTGGAACCTAAGCTGAGGCTGCAGTAGTTCTTCATTACCATCAGGAGGCGCTGTGTGGGTGTCCCATACTGACACCACTCCCTCCGTGTCTCCACTCAGCAGGTACCTGCCAGATCTAAACGCACACAAACAGAAACACGAGTGGGAATCGGCTAATACGACGATCCTTGCTGCTATTTAACACAGAAAAACCAGACGAATCACATCAAACTCATACACAACAGGATCACTGATGCAGTTTCCCTGTTACTTACTGATCGAGGTCAAAGTAGATGCGCTGATTAGTGGCCACGTTCCTTTTAAGAGAAAACACAACTCTTCCCGGCTCTCTTAGGTCCCAGCACAGGATTTCTGGATCCTGCACACACAAAAGAATTTCCATGAAATCATTCGTTCCCGAGCCTGGATGCTAACTTTATCCATCACAAACAACTGCCACACAACAAAAGGCAGTCACAATTTATCTTCACAGCCTGTATATAAAATTTGGACATAGCCACACTAAGGTCATTTTGGGGTTTGAAGCTTTAATATTAACATTTTTGCCAGCGTTAATGCTTTAGAGCCAGAAGTCAGCACGAGAGAGACTTCCAAGTTAGCTTACACTAGCTAGCATGGTTAGCAAGCTGCATAGATTTTGTGTGCTACACGCAGTCACTTTCATGCATAACTGTAACAAGCTGATAATTCTTGATTTCACTACTAGAACATGAGCCATAAGCATCTTGAACAGTCTGCACCTCGCGGCGGGACACGCTTGTCAGATAACTTTGGTTAAAAATGTTCCCAAAGGCACAAACTTGGCTAAGTAGTGCAGTTCAGTAGCTGAAATTAGCAGAAGTGAGAACCAGGAATAAAGCAGTCTCTTCCTCAACTTCAGCACTGACTAATGTCCAAGTTTGAAAAACCCAAAGATCATCAATGATGGAGAAGCTCAGGTTGATCATGATCAAATCACAAGTCACTGGGAAAGCAGCAAATATGCCATTTACCAACATCTGTAGTTTTTCAGCCTCAGGTTTTGCCACTTGATAAAGCTTCAAAAAGCCAAACTTTTTGTCCAATTTCTGTTCTGAGGGTTGAAAACTCAAACACACATCTCTTCAGAGGACACAGAGTACTTACAATAATCATAGATAAAACAATAAAACAAGAACTATCAGACTTTTGATTGATAGCTATTACTTTCAATTGGAGCTCTATTAAGTTTAGGACCTACCATTAATCTTCCTTACACACTGCTTTGATATCATTTCTTCAGATTAGAGCGAACCTGTAGCTGAATTAGCTGGCATACAGTTTGCAGCAGGAGAATAATGTTAGATGCTAGCTTAAATATTTCATTTTAAGTTGCTGACACATGCTGAGAGGACTGAGTATCATGTAAAGCTTTACATCATACTTGTGTATTTATATTGTGCAAAGCAACATCAGTTACCTGCTTAACACCCAAACACAACTGATGGTTTGTGTGTGTTCAGCAGCGATTGTTACCTTCGGGTATCTCTCTGCTTGAAGCTGTGTGCGAGTCTGTTCGTGCGTTACCTTGCGGCCGCCGGTGTACAGGTAGTTGCCGTCGGGGGAGAAGAGCAGATGGGTGAGACCTCCGTGGTGACGGGTCGGCAGCAGAGCCAGCAGGGTGCCGTCCTGGCAGGAGTAGAGGCCAGCGCAGCGGGAGTAAGAGCCACAGGCGTAAACAGATTGGCAAGGGCTGAAGCCAAAGCAGGAGATGATGCCACTCTGGCCTTGCTTTTTCACTGTGGTGAGGACAAGAGAGAGCATTTGGCAGCGCTTTCAGCACTTTATAGTTCACAGGACACAATTTGCAGTCTCGTCGACTCAAAGTTGACTTTTTGGCAGTTCAGACATTCCGGAGTCTGTCCATAAAAGCAACAGATTTCTCAGTGATTACACCAGTGAGCCAACGGATTACAATCTCAAGGTGATGATGGTGTGTGTTAGTTAAAGCCTTTGCTGGATCTGCCTCTGCCAATTTAGAAAAAGTCATTCAAGTACATTAAAAAAAAGAGCTTCCAGTGAAATGATGCCATATGAATGTGAGACGGAGGAAAGAAATGCATCACAGTAAACATTGTGTTCTCCTTGGTTTTTGTCAGAAGTACATAATAAAAACGCTCCTTGTCAGTTTGTTCAAGGAGGCTTCAGCCTGTGAGATGTGACAGCCAGCTGTCAAACAGCAACTCGCTGAAAACAAGAAACAACCGACTTCACATTATCCTCCCTCTCACGTCTGTTTACTGTCTAAGGGTTTCAACTTCTCACAATATTTCTTGTGAATCCCAAAACGTTGATTCTGCTCATCTGGACGAAGCGTTTGGTCACTCATGCGAGCGGCTTCTTCAGTCTCAGCTGACTGCACGTTTCCCCAACCTTATAAACCGACCAAGTGTGTGAACTGGGTCTTAATTCCACATACTTCACATACGAGGGTCAGTACTACAGGCAGAAACATGGGTTCCCCAGTTTCACCCATTGTGGCCAATTTGTATATGGAAGAAGTGGAAAACAGGGTTTTGTTATCCTACCCTGGTTCAGGTATGTGGATGACACCTGAGGGAAAAATCAAATCTTAGGACGTACCACAATTCATGGATCACATTAACTCGGTGGACCGACACATCAAATTCACCAGGGAGGATATAAAAAGTGTTAGCCTTCTTAGACTGTGAGATTTCCATCAGTAATGGGGGACATCTAAAAGCTGATGTGTAACGTAAACCTACACATACGGATCAGTATCTAAGGTTTGACTCTCATCATCCACAGGAGCACAAACTGGGTGTCATCAGGACGCTACAACACAGAGCGAACACCATCCCCACTGACACAGCGGCCAGGGAGGCAGAAGAACAGCACATCAAGAAGGCCCTGAGTAAATGTGGTTATCCCAGCTGGACTTTTGTCAAAGCTGGGAAGGCGCCTAAAGAAAGCTCCAGCCGATCCAGGACAGAAGGACAACCGCTGCCCAAGCAAAAACCTGTAGTGCTCCCATGTGTGTCAGGAGTATTGGAGCGGTTGAGACGCATTTTCTCTAAACACTGTGGCTTTCAAACCCCAAAGCACGCTGCACCAAAAATTTGTCATCCCAAGGATCGGGTCCCCCGACACAAACAGAGTAATGTAGTGTACGCTGTTAAGTGCCAGGAGGATTTCTACATCTGGGAAACAAAACAACCCTGGGCTAAGTAGTTAGGTGTTCTGTGTTGTCCTAACTCGTCAGGCCAGAACTCCACAGTCTATTTCCACCTACAGGCCAGTGGACACTTTGAATGATGAGGATGTAACATCCTGGACAGGGAGGAACGCTGGTTTGAGCGCGGAGTCAAGGAGGCCATTTACGTGAAAAGGGAAAGACCATCTCTGAATCGAGGAGGGGGCCTAAGGGTACATCTGTCACCATCTTACAATACTAGGAGAAACCTGCAGTCAGCTGAGACTGAAGCAGTCATTTGGATGAGTGAACAAACCTCTTCCACTGAAAAGGCTTCATCGAGATGAACAGAACCTTTTAGGATTTACTTACCTGGATGCTCGAGCATGCATCACGACATTTCTTGTGAACACCATTTATTTATAGCTGCATTTTTGAGTGTCGTTGAAGTTTGCTCACAATCAGCAAACCATCCAACACAGAATGCGTTAAAAATGACGCTGCTGGTAACAGGATCATCAGAAAGTCAGTGTCTCACTGCAAACTGACACTTCTTCAGTCACTCTGACAGCAGGACTTCACTGCTGTGAAGGAACAACGTGTTTATAGCACAAGGGTGTAACCTTAAAGCAGTGTTTCTCAAATGTGGTAACAGTATCCCTGAGGGAACTCCAATTTAATATCCTTGTTTTCAGTACAGTCGTTAACTGCTGTAAAACCTCACACAAGAAGAAAGCAATAAACACAATCACACCGGCTGTGAGCAGGAGGCCAGCTTCTAATATTTTAATGAAAAAAAGACAAACTCAATTTGTGGTTGAAATGTAGCAGCTGAAAGCGCGAAGAAAGAGGTGATACACATATTTGTGTTTGGCCTGATGAAATGAAACGAAAAGATGTTAAATGGGTTTTACGTCACCCGAGGAAAGCTCATCGACAAGCTTCAAGGTGAAAGCCGATGAGACGTTGACGACTGACCTATTGTGGGTCGCTCCTCACAGTCTCTGCCCGGGCGCTCGGTGTGGAAGACCCTGACCATTTTGTCAAACCCGCAGTAGAGCTGCGCGCCATCTGGAGAGAAGCACAGCGAGTGAGCTGCCGTCAGCTCGTCCAGGTGATTGTAGGGTCGGAAGCTGGCTCGCACCTCCCCGTAAAATGCATCCCACACATGGACGGGGTTGTCACGGCTACTGCTGGCTAGACTGAAGAAGAGGAGGTCGAAATAAATAAATATGAATGAATGAATGAATGAATGATTTAGAAATGAATGAGATGAACAAACTGAGCTAACGGAGGGAACAACTAACATGCAAAACAAACATACAGCTACATGCTTCGCCTCATTATGAAGACAAGGCCGCAGCACATTCTTATTGATCCGCATCAGGGCCAAAGACTGAGCCATGCCTTTTTAACTCTAATTATTGAGCACTGAACAAACGCTGAAACATCACTGCCGCTCAATTAGACAAAGGAAATGAGCCCCCGCCGCTGCTGCCGTGTTCTGTTATGGCCCCTGTGAGCCGCGGCTTTATTCCAGAGCAGGGAAATGCCCAATTATAATGCTAGACTGCTGCTAGCTTGGAGCCATGCCTAGAACTCAGCGCAACTTAACCGAGCCATAACAGGGGCCCTTATTCCCTCTCTACAGGAGGGGCATCAACAACACACGGCTTTTGGCAGGCAGATAGTTCAAGGAGCGCAGAGGGAGAAACAAAACAGCGATGTGAAAAGAGGGAGAGAAAGGGTAAGCAGGAGACATGGCTCTCCTGCTTTGCTAGATGTTTTCTTTTAATCGTCACAACCGCAATCTTTTATCTGACTGCTACAGTCAGTCGGTGTGCTCTGTCCGACCACCTGACTGCGCCCTGCAGGAGCTCCTGTTTGATAGATGGCAGCGATCTGAAGACAATCGCGAGCGTTTGCTGTCAGTTTCCATCAGCATTTGGATTATAGACACGACTCGAGCGCTTCGCTGCCCGCGAGACTTTTGTTGATGATTTTGGTTTGTCCAGCTCCAGACCCTCACCCACTAACATGGTGAAAGCTGTACGATGTGAGGATGTCGGTGCCAGTTCTGGGCCTTGATCCACTCAACTGCTCGAGGGTCTGACTGAAGGATGATGGGAGTTGGGGGAGTTGGGGCTGAAGGGTAACACACCACGAAAACTGCTGGCAACCTGACCTCGGCTCATTAGCTCAGCCTTACTTCTCTCACCGCAGACGATAAGCAGCCTTCACAGCGACGGCTGGATGCTGCTGATGCTAACTTTCCTTCACAGCACACACACACCAACACTCAGTGATGTCATAATTGCCACATACTTGCTAGAGTGCACCCTTCTAAACACAAAAAAAGGAGAAGGAGATGAGAAGCAAAGCCTCGAGTCAGGGATTCACGAGGCCCTTTAGGTGTTGTCTGGACTCAGGAGTGCTGTTAGCGGGCTGAATCGCACTGTGGGCCTCAAACAGGCGAGCGGATTGCGACGAGGCGGACGAGACGCAGGCCAACTCTTCACTGGTAATGAGAGACATCAGAAAGCTTTTACAGCTTCCCTCCTTGCAGGCAGCCAGCTTCCACAACCGCTGCACATACCTCTGGGATCAAAGAATGAGACACAAGACTACAACAAAATCTTCTGCATTCAGACAGTCTATTAGACACACTGCAGCACAAAGAAAAGCCGACAAATTCACCGGGAACCCGATCCAACCACCCGAGATTAGAAACTGACACAAAACACAACCCGGTGCTTTTTTCAGTGTATACACATTTCACCGTCTCCAAGGTGGACTTGAAGCGAGAGGCTTAGGGAATAGTTTGAAAAAGACCAGGTTCAGCTCACAAGCACGTGTCCGGCTCCAAAGAGTTCATCTTGGGGTACCAGCAGTAGTCGTAGATGGTGTCTCCTTCTGCCATCCGCAGCACTGGACTCTAGCAGAGAATAAAAGAAAAGACAGACAGTCAGTAACAGAGGGACTGAGACCTCCTGCATTAAGAAATGTAGGCCAAAGGCACTGGCTGGATCCATCAGCTCTGAGGCTGACACTAAATAAGTGGCTACCCAGAAAAATTCAATTTCAAAAGCCAGTGGAAGCATGCGAGAAACAGAGCAATCAACAGTCAATCTTCTCCTCTCATTACAAAGGCTGCGAGATTTCAACTAGAGAAAATGGATTATATTTCAATTATTTTTGTTCAGTGATCCCAATCAAACCAGCTTGTAATACAATTAAAAGATCGGCTCACTACTTGACATTTCGCCCCGACCAAAACACAAAGTCCATTTTATTCCCACAGATTAATCTTCACTAACGCGCTTTATCAGGCAGACGTCTCAAAGGATTTTTGTTTATTGCAACAAAAAGCAAAACTGACGTTTAGTAATAACCTTCATAAACATCATAAACAGGGAAGCTCCAGATTAGACTGAGACTGCTGACCTTTACAAATGAAGGAGTCTTTATAGCTACGTTCATCTTTCAACTGAATTTAAATCCATAAAATAATGAATATTTGCTCTAACATTTGTTTGTTGCTTTCTCATTTCCCGTCGCCTGTCCGGCCCCCGATGGCAAGCTATTTGTGTACTCACCATTTCAGGAAGCAAGTCCCAGTTGTAGCTGTAAATCTCTGGAGGGATGTTGTACACTCGGAGGACATTGTCTGCACTGTTTGTCAGGATACAAGAACCATCAGGAGCCCTAGGTAAGAGGAAGAGGAGGGATGACAGATCATTAAAGACTAGAACAACAAGTACTCGGGCTGGGTTTGTGTGCATGTTAAAGTAACACAAAACACACATATAATACTAACATATATGCAACTGCACTATAGCATGTAAGCAGCTTGTACACAGACAACTGTATTTATAGCATTAATTAAAGAAAACTGACCTTTTCTGGGTCAGAAAGGTAAAGCAGATGTGTTATAACTGGTACTGGTAGGTTTGAGTCTATTACCCTAATTCTCTCTGGCCTCCAATTAAATATCACATTGATTTTAAAATCCTATAAAATCTTAAATAATATTGCACCTAGCTGTCTTATTTGATCAAAGCTCAGGCTCACAGTGTCAGCCTGCATACTGTTCTGCCCAGACTATATACCAGTACTCTGCCCATTGGAAGCAACCAGTGAGTTCAGGCGTGACATTACTGGGCAGTGTGGTTGTAGCAGCATCTATTGTGCTCATGCAAACAATGATGGAACCTCACATGTTGATCTGATGCCTTTCCGAGAACTCCAAGTCCAGTGGCAAAACTCAAATATAGCGGCACCCCAGTGCTACCTACCTCTCAGCCCCCCTGCAGATGCACACAGTATCCATTTCAAAGCCTTACGTCGCCTTGTTTTTGTGTCTAAGCCCAGTATGTAACAACCATGAATACGCCCCTCGCAATGTTTTCTTCATATATAAAAAAAGAATTTACCATTTGCAGCCTTTCAGGTAGTTCTCCGGCAGGTTGGAGTACTCTGTCCAGGAACCAGTCAGCATTTGAGGGTTCTGGGTAAAATCTAAGCTGAGCCTGGAGA